CTAGATAAAGGAGTGTTTATCTTAATAATGGCCTTTAGGCTAGGCATGGTGGCTTATGCTGTAATCCTAGTATTTTGGGAGGCCAAGGTGGCAGGATTGCTTGAAGACAGGAGTTCAAGACCAGCCTCAGCAACACAGCAAGATGTCATCTCTACAAAAAATTTTAAAAATTAGCTAGCTGGGTGTGTTTCTGTATGCCTGTAGTCTCAGCTACTCTGGAGACTGAGGTGAGGGGATTACTTGAGCCCAGGAGTTTAAGGCTGCAGTGAGCCATGACTGCACCATAGTACTAGAGCCTAGGCAACCTGTCTCTGGAAAAAAAAGAGGCCTTCAAGCATGGTGGTGCACACCTGTAATCCTAGCACTTTGAGGGGCTGAGGTAGGCAGATTGCTTGAGCTCAGGAGTTTGAGACCAGCTTGGGCAACATGGTGAAACCCTGTCTCTATGAAAAGTACAAAAATTAGCTGGGCAAGGTGGCACATGCCTGTAGTCACAGCTACTTGAGAGGTTGAGGCAGGAGGATCACCTGAGTCTGGGGAGGTTGAGGCTGCAGTGAGTTGAGACTGCACCATTGCACTCTAGCCTGGGCAATAGAGTGAGATCTTGTCTCAGAAAAAATAAAGGCCTTTAATACACAAAGTTAATGCTATAATCATCATTATCGGGCCTGATTATCTGAGAGTGGTGAAAATAATCCAGTTACTTTCTCTGATTTCTACCATGTTTTTCTTATATAACATGTATACTACTTGTCTGGTTATAGGATCATTTGTTTGAACACATGGCCAGGCATTCCAATCAACATAGCCAACTAGTTTTAGCTAGCTGTCTTTCAACGGAGTTCAGGAAAGGACAGATTTCGCCTCATTATATATTACCTGGAAAGACCTGGTGACTAATTTTTGATCTCTGAAAATGAAAATCTCAATGCACGATCACATGATTCTCCCACAGTAATCTAGCACAGAAGGTACTTTTTGGTTAAGGTGATGGCTACGCTAATGCACTGCTTTTCAAGCTATGCTATCTGTGGAGAAGGACTGGACTTTTTTTTCCTTTTCTTGCTTTCAATCCATTGTGGACTAACAATTTCATAAAATATAATAACAATGAGATGAAAACAAAAAGAGTCATACAAACTACAAGGCCTAATTTATTATGACTATTATATTCAACAACTATAAATTTATTCTGTCAAATTGCTATACATGATTCTAACTGCTTACTCTCAATTCCTTTTAGGACCAGTGACAATCTGCATGCTGCCTGGCACTAGCCTGAGGACTGGACTTTGAACAGCACCACCTTCATGTATCAAGTTAGGAGGCCAGCAGGACTTATTTTCCAGCTGAACCCTGCTGGTGGAAGCAGAATCTGGTCAAAACATGGTGCAGTGAAGAAGCTGGCTGAAACCAAGGAAAGCGACCTCTAGTTGCCCTCACTGCTCATTAGCACAAGACACTCCTACTGGACCCATGATAGCTTACAAATGCCATGGCAATGGCCCAGAAGTTACCTTATATAGTTCTGGAAACTCCCCACCCTTTTTCCAAAAAGTTCTGAATAACCCTCCTTTTAATTAGCATATAATTTAAAGCACATGTAAATATAGTTGCTAACAGCCTATACACTACCCTCAATGTACATAACCTATGGGTTAGCCGTGCAGCACTGGTTCAATAAAAGTTGCTTTTTCTTACCCTTGGCTCACTCTTAAATTATTTCCTGGGCAAAAGCCAGGAACTCTCCCTGGCTAAGCCCTCTAAGGTGGCCTGCATAACTTCTGTCACATAACTTCATGCTTGATGGTTCTGAAGAGAAAACAGATAAGCTACCTGTACTAGAGAGTTCGATAGTCTCATGTCTGAAGAAAGCAAGACAGGATAATTTCTTGAAGGTCTTCCCGGTTTGCTGATTCCTGACCTGGGTCATTTGGGTTCATACCTGCTCATGGTTTCTGCCATCATATTGGGCCAGTGCATCTTGAGTTCCTCACTTGACCATGGTTGTCTCCTGAACTGCCAACTTTTGATGTTTAGGAATAACTTCCTTCTCTTAATGTTTGGCTTCAATGAAGGGAAAAACACTTAACTCAGGTGAAGTCTTAAGAAAGATAGTAGGCTCTTTGCCCTGGGAGGAAGACTTTCATTTTCTACAGTATCTGCCTGGATTTTAAATCTGAAAATACCATCTCGAATTATCATTAGTCTGTAGCTTTAGCCCATGACTCAGTTAAATACTTACTAAATAACTCGTAAGTACTTGAAGTGTTTCATACATGTATCACTGTACAAATATTGAGGTAACTCATTTAATATTGTCACAATATCTTGACAAATATTTCTCCCTAGCTTAATATAAGAAGTTTGTCTGGGCCATCAAACAATCTTCATAAGAGCTTGAATTTTGGTTTGTTATGGGTAGTAAGAGGTAATCTTGCTGAGAAAACCAAAGAAAGTTTTTACCTGTTTTTCTTTTGCTCCATCTGTTCATTTTTATCTTGATAAATTTCACAGTTTTAGTTTCTACTTAGAACTTGTCCTCTTTAAAAAACTGCTATAAAGCAAGTTTGGCTCATTTGCTTAATAAAAATATATTTCACAATGGATGTAAATATGGTTAATGGATAGATAACAATAACTTCTATTATAAAAATATATTATTTTCTTTTTAAGAAGTCTAAGAATATTTGCTTAAGCTTTTAAATAATTCCACGTCTAAAGGTCCCAGGTTATCTAACAAAGTTACCCTGGATAGGTTTTAGCTACAGTCATGTTTTTTTATCCTCTGCTATGCAGACACATAGGCTAAAATCCACTATGGTACTAAATGTTAGATGACTAAATCAGGGTATGGTAGATGTGTAGAACTTTCAAAATTATACAGATGCCTACATAAGCCATCATCCACAAACCAGAATAAAACAAATAGTACTTTTGCTTTAATCAACCCCCTAACTGGAACATTTCCCAAAATACAGCCCCTTGCTTCTGTTCCTCTCCCATCCACTCATATGGTTTCAGGATTCATTTCCCAAGTTCAGTTCCATATTTCAAATATTTCTCTTTTTCATTTCTTTCTTTGCCTCAAATTCAATGGACCTAAAATAAAATCCATTTCAAAATCTTAGGGTTGGAAGAGATCCCAGGGGACATCCAATCTTGACTTTAATGGCTACATAAATAGCTTCTATAAAGCTTCCAAGAGGGAGGGGTTCTCTATTCTCTCCTTTAACGTCTCCAGCTCTAGGAACTCCCCTCTTCCCAGGGAAGCCATTTTGGGTAGATAGTTTCCAATACCAATTCTATGTCCAGGTTTTCCTAGACAGGAAATTATATCACCCTCTTTCCAGTTTCCAGGTCCTCTTAATTAAGTCAGCACCACCCAATTACTCCCCAAAACTTTCATAGCTAATCAGGTATGAGATGGGTCAGGCCAAAGTTTTTAATCAGCCCCCTCTTACAGCCCCATAATTCCTGGAACATAATTAATTGCTGATTAATTGCACTGATTATTTTAAATCTATCAAGAGCTCAATCTTAGCAAAAGAGGGTTTCTTACTTTGAATCTTATGCTTTATGTGATGTTTTTGACCAAATAGCCATGTGAAAATTATGTTAATCATAAGTTAGAAATAAAATTACAGTTCACTAGCAGATGAAGTGATAATTGTATAGTTTATACATCATTTAAAAACTCCTGTGGAAAGAAAAGTGCTGACTGCAATGAAAAAGGACAATTCAAAGAATTTTTGGTAAAATCTACATAGTTCACATGAGAAACCTCATTGTTTTAAGTTTCTTGTATTTTTCTTACCCTCTAATAATTTGTAGACCCAGCCTCACTTTCCCTAAAAATCAAACAAACACAATCATCTACTTTTCCTGTTATACTAACACTATAATGCTAGCAAGTTAAAATTTCATAAAAAATGAAAAATGTGAACCTTTGGCAGCCCATTTCATTTGACTTATTTTCAAATTATTTCAGTGGCATGGATAAAAACAAGACTACTGTACAATATCATATCTCTACATATATGAAAACAAAACTATGCCAAAAGATCAGTCATATGAAGTTCATTAAGGCCCAGATTCATTTCTGATCTAAGATACAGCATTAGAAGAAAATGACTTAGAGATGAGTAAATCATCAGTTATTACACTACATTTCCAAAAGCCATGTTGCTGCAGTGAAACCTATGACTCATGCTGTTGTTTAGAAGCTGGATGACAGAAACCCACTGGAATAGGCTAATTTCCCTTACTTCTCACACCCCAGTTTTAAACTCATTACGTTCAGGGAATGCAGCATTAAGTTATTTGAGAACAGCTACTTCCCAGAGGATTTAATGAGGCAGAAATTAATATAAAGAACAAGGGAGACTACTCTCTCTTATTTAGATCTTTAAAAACAATGAATTTCCATAAGAATTGAAAGCAGGTACTCAAGTACATGTACATGCATGTTAGTAGCAATGTTATTCATAGCAGTCAAAAGGTGGAAACAGCCCGAGCGTCCATCAATCCATTCACTGATGAACAAAAAAATTGTGGTATATCCATGGAATAGAATAGTATTCAACCCCAAAAAGGAAGGAAATACTGATAAATGCTACAAGGTGGTTGTACCTCAAAAACAGTATTTTAAGTGAAGGAAGCCAGGTACAAAATGTCACATAACATATATTCCATTTATATAAAATGTCCACAATAGATAAATCCATAGAGACAGAATGAAGACTGGTGGTTCCCAGGGCCTTAAAGGGAAGAGGGAAGGAGGAGGAACTGTTTAAGAGGTAAGGGATTTTGTTTTGGAATGATGGTAAAGTTCTGGAACAAGATAGAAGTGGTGGTTGAACGTACTGAATACCACTGAATGTATTACATGCCACTGAATTTTTCACTTTAAAATGGTTGAAAAAAATAAAAACAATGAACTCAAGTCTTAAAACCAGATTCTTACTTCTAGAATACCCTCCACTATCCCTCATACTTACCTTACACACCATGGATGTCTTTGCTCCAAGCCGAGCAGCTTGGACACACTGGTTGGCACCTTTCCCTCCAAAGCCAATAAAAAACTTATGTCCATGAATGGTTTCTCCAGGTTTTGGCAAACGGGGAGTAAGACTATTATAATTCAATAAGAGAAGGAAAAAGGCATATTGGTAACTGGAATCAATTTAATTTCTTTAGAAGAGAGGGAAGGCTATATGGTAGAGTTCTAAATAGTCTTAACAATTAGAACTATGAACACAAGCAAGGAAGATTACCTCTTCCTTTAGGACAACATTTAGTAGTTTGCATCATTACCAGGAATGAGTCACCTTGACAGAATTCCTCTCTGTCTCCCAGAGCCCACTATTGTGGCTAGTGTCTGCACAGCATCAGGGTTATTCATGAACACTTTCTTTCATATTCCCTTTCCAAATGCCAGCACAGAGCTTTATTCACAGTGGGATTTAATAAATGGGATGAAATTGATGTACATTTCTATATGGGTTTATCTGGTCACTTTAACAAGAAGCAGGAAGTGTTCCAGGATTCTGACAATCAAGTACAAGAGCTAAGGAGAAGAGGGAAGTTACAATTCCAGGTACTAAAGAATCTTTGTTGTTTACTTATGGGTAGAGTAAGAGCGGGGTGTTCTGAGAGGAGGATCAGGTCCATCCTGCATACCACACCATTTCATGTGCTCACTCAAAAAGAGCATCTATTTAAAAAAAATGAACTCTAAAGAGCTAAGTTATTTTTAAATTTTTGTTATGGAAGATTTCAAATCTATAAAAATAGAGAAAGCAGCATATTGATGTCCCTTACCCTCATTCACCTATTATCCAAATTTAATAATTTAATAATTATCATCTCATAGCCAATCTTGTTTGAGTCATACCTTCATCAAATTCTTCAACAGCCAAGAATTTTTACCATAATGCTATTATCTAATGATGATCGTATTAAGTGAGGCAAACATAATAAAATGTTTGCTCCAGGGTATGATTTTCATATTTCATATTATTAAAGATGAAGGAAGGTGTGAAGAAACGAAATATTTGAAGGATGGAAGGAAATGATTAAAATGAAAGAAGAGTTCTGTGGAGTTCTTGGGGCAAGTGAAGAAAATGGGCTAAGGCGGCACAAACACTGGCTACCTGGCCAAAAAGAAGTGGGCCAAGGGCCAAAGGGAGCAGGTAAAGAGAGGGTAGGTGTGACCAAAAAGGTTCATTAGCTTTAGATAGGAAAGAAAGGTCAAGAGAGAAGTTCACAATGGTAAGGCCACTGAGAACCTACACTGCTTTTGCAGGTTAGAAATTTATATTAATTTCCCATATAGGTTATGGTCTAGCTGAAGCCTATATCTCATATTAGAAAAGTATCTCATATTAGAAAAGAGCAATGCCAATTCCTATAGGTCACTAACAGCCAGTTTGCAATGGGATGACTTATAACTGATGCTAAGAACATATGATTACATCAATAAAGACCAAGCTCAACCTGTTAACCTCTTTTATATATCTCTAAAAGTGTCAATAAATTGAGCTGAACTACTCCATTTCCTAACAGTACACTGTCAAATATGGTTGAGATTCAAGAGTCTCATCAATAATTTGAAAACATCCCACTCCTCCCCTTTAAATTCTATTTTTATCTTGGATTCTAAATGCATTTATAGTACTGATGAAAAAAATATACATCTAGAGGGTTCACTTCTGAAAAAGGTACTCAATCAAGAGAAAAATGGTTTTAATGTAATGTTATTATCCTGTCATTTAATTTAGCAATGACAGTGATGATGAGATTTTGATTTGCATTAGAAATCTTAAACATTTAGGATTCTGTTATGAACAGGCAATGATGAGTAATCTGTGTGATTGAGTAACTATGTGAATTCTTGGCTTATTGATGCTGCTACAAACAACACTCATAGCGACCTTAAAAAGAAAAAATATCCCATGTGGCTAAAAACAGGCCAAATAACTTGATTAGTAAGACTGTCACGAAAGAAACTTGTGATTTCCACTATATTTATACTTAGATTTGGGTCACAATTCACTGATTTGAATCAAGTGTAATTTTTAGTATTGACTGTGAGAATTCATTTTAGAAAATCACCAGATTATTACTGGGATGTATATGTATGTGGGGGAAGGGCAAAATCATGGGCACGGTAGGTGTGTTTGATGTGGTAGCAGATGGCTAGGATTTAAACTCATTTCTAAACAACATATATTAACATGAGCACTGTATTAATTCAGTGATCACTGAAATTCTTCACTCCTTTGGTATTTTACTAATTTCTCCTCTTTTTCTTCTGTATCCTTCCCCTCTCGTCTCTTTCTTCCCTCCTCTGTAGACTCCCTGCATGAAGACAGGGACCAATTCTGTCATGTTCTCCATTTTACACAATGTGTCTGTCACATGACATAAGGTTAACAGATATTTGCTGACTGAACACATTTTTGTAAGAGTCTCCCTTTGTCTCTCTCTTTTTTAAATACAGAATCCCTCTCTGTTGCCCAGGCTGGGGTACAGTGGCATGATCTCGGCTCATTGCAACCTCCACCTCCTGGGTTCAAGGAATTCTCCTGCCTTAGCCTCCTAAGTAGCTGGGATTACAGGGATGTGCCACCACGCCAGGCTAATTTTTGTATCTTTGGTAGAGACAGGGTTTCACCATGTTGGCCAGGCTGGTCTTGAACTTCTGACCTCAAGTGATCTGCCTGCCTTACTCTCCCTAAGTGCTGGGATTACAGGGGTGCGCCACCATGCCCAGCCTCCCTTTGTCTCTCTTCTGTGTCTCCCCCATATAGCATCTATTCCTGTTCTGAAATGAGGATGTGGAGGTGTTGATTAGGGAAACAGGGGAGACTGGCAGGAATGACTGGGCAATTGTCAGACAATGATAACTCCATATTTTACCAGATCTTGCCCATTGCATTCCCAGTATCAGCAGCATTCCTCTTCCACAAGCAAGAAATGTAACTAGAAGTCATATATGCCTTCATTCATGCACTAATTCAATTAATGTTCGTCGTTTCCTGATGTACCTCCTATAAGGCAAAACCAACTTGTTAATCTAACCCTGATGCAAGTAACACATGAGTGAAGAAAATATGTCACGGAATAAGGAGATCAGTATGCTTGATTCATTTTTGTTTTTTTGAGTTGGAGTCTCACTCTGTCTCCCAGGCTGGAGTGCAGTGGCATCAACTTGGCTCACTGCAACCTCTGTCTCCTTGGTTCAAGTGATTCCCCTACCTCAACTTCCTGAGTAGCTGGGATTACAGGCATCCACCACCATGCTCAGCTAATTTTTTTTGTATTTTTAGTAGAGACGGGGTTTCACTATATTGGCCAGGCTGGTCTTAAACTCCTGATTCAGCTGCCTCAGCCTTCCAAAGTGCTGGGATTACAGGCATGAGCCACTGTGCCTGGTCTGATTCTCTCTTTTTTTTTTTTTTCCAGACAGGGTCTGTTCTGTTGCTGAGGCTGGAGTGCAACACAAAGATGGTTCATTGCAGCCCCAACTTCCTAGGCTCAGATGATCATCCCATGTCAGCCTCCCAGGTATCTGGGACCACAGGTGTGCACTATCACTCTGGCTAATCTTTTTCATCTTTTTGTAGAGACAGGTTTTTGCCATGTTGCCCAGGATGATCTCGAACTTCTGGGCTCAGGTGATCCTCCTGCCTTGGCCTCCCAAAGTTTAGGGATTGCATGCGTGAGCCACTGTGCCTGGCTGATTTATGTTTTTTAAAAGGAAAAAGATATATGTATATGTTCTCCCATGATATGTACATGCATAACAGGTGAAAAGTTAAATGACAGGTATTCACAAAGAAGGGTGGGGAGTAAAAGTTCGTATTTTATTTTATATTCTTATGTACATAAATAGATACAAGAATAATTTAGTGTATCATGTGATACCACTTGTCACTACTTCAGATTCATGTGGCCTCTCTGCCTCATTTACTAGCCACCAGTTCTTCATGGGTACCAGCTGGCTTCTTGCAGTTGTCACCTAACAGAGTCTTACTCAATGCTGCTCTTGTCCCACACCTGGGCTTCTGTCTCCTCAGGCTGTCCTGAAGGACTGAGCAGCCAGTGGCCAACTTGACAATGTCAAGTTGTATAGGCTCTTCCTTCTTCCCTGTCCCCTGCTTTTGACTCCTGGATTATAGTGCTAACCAAGTATGTGCACTTAAGCCTCTGTCTTATGCTCTGGTTTCTGTTAAACCCAGACTAAGACAGTTTATGGCTGATTTATTTTTATTTTTAAAGTAAATAAACTGAAGAGTGGAGAGAGCAACTAGAAAGTTAGTTACAAACAGGTAGCAGCATTTTTGAATTATAAATCCGAATTCACTTTGAATTAGACTTTCCTATCTTTCTTATTGAAAGCATGAAATTATGTTCAGGTTCAAGAAAGCACCTGCACAAAGCACCATCTCCTGGGATGAAAGCATTACTATGATTTGTTCTAATTACAGAAAAAAAAAGAGGTTTAGCAGAGTGTCAAAGACAGAATAATTGAATTGCTCAAATTAAAAAGGAAACAGTATTAGTAGAAATACATTGTCATACCATTTAAAGGTAAAAATAGTGTAAATTTCTGAATGAGGGAGAAAACCTGAATAGAGAAAACCATGCCTAAGAAATATATTTGAATTTAAAACAAATTCATAGCTTTAAAAATGCTACAATGTCTTTAGTTAGAACTGAAAGGAAGTGATAAATGTTCATACATGGCCCCAGTCATCCCTGCCATGAAAGGCCACGTGGTTAGAGCCTGGGTGTGTCAGGCAGGAGGCCTGAGCCTTACTGATTGTATTACTTTTGACAGCTTTTCCCTCTGTGAACCAGCTGCTTCTCTTGCAAAACAGGTTTAATAATACTTGTCAACTCCTTAAATGCCTGGGTTTTGTGCTCTGAGTTAATTCTCTGACAGGTGTTACCAGAACAACTTATCAATTGCTTTTAACTTCTTGACAATGATGTGGTTTTTACAGATTCTCAGAGATTATTCAAACCAAAGGAAGGAATGACCCGGTGATATGGAGATGAGAAGTCTTTCAACCAAAGAGGTCACACTAACATTGACTTCAGCCAAAAGTCACCAAATGTGTTGC